AATTCTGTTGTTTATTCACTGAGTGGTCTTGGGCAAGTCATTTCATTTCTCTGGGTGTAAATTTCCTTATTTTTAAAAATGAAGATGGCTCCGCCTTCTTTGGTAAGTTGATATAAGGATCAATGAGATATGACATACATAAAAAGTGCTTTGTAAAAAAAATGTTAACGGGGTGGGCAAAGCACAAGTAGAAAATCTTATGAGATGCCTGCAGAACTTCCCCTTAGATGGCTGAATTGGAATTTTCTGTGGAGGAGCCATTTCTGGGCATTTCTCTTGGTTGTGTGGAGACCAGAAAGGAATAAGATCTTCTCTGAGATACAGAAATATAAAATAAAATGAAATCAATCAGTGAAACAGCTTGACACTTAGTAGGATTCAATACAACCTAAATGTAAAAGCTAACACTGTACAGCTTTTAGAAGAAAACATAGGAATATTTCTTTATGATCTTAGGATAGATAAAAATTTCTTAGGATACAGAAAGCTTTAACCATAGAAGAAACAAACTGATAAATTGATAAGTTTAAATCTGATAAATTAAAAACTTCTATTTATTGGCCGGGCGCGGTGGCTCAAGCCTGTAATCCCAGCACTTTGGGAGGCCGAGGCGGGTGGATCACGAGGTCAAGAGATCGAGACCATCCTGGTCAACATGGTGAAACCCCGTCTCTACTAAAATACAAAAAATTAGCTGGGCATGGTGGTGCATGCCTGTAATCCCAGCTACTCAGGAGGCTGAGGCAGGAGAATTGCCTGAACCCAGGAGGCGGAGGTTGCGGTGAGCTGAGATCGTGCCACTGCATTCCAGCCTGGGTAACATGAGTGAAACTCCGTCTCAAAAAAAAAAAAACTTCTATTTATCAAAAAATACAGTTAAGAAAATAGAGGCAAGCCATAGGCTGAGAGAAAATATTCATGAGGCATATATCTGACAGAGGACTTGTATGCAGAATAAATGTTAAAACTCCTGTAATTCCATCATAAAAAGACTAACAACTCAGTGTTTTTTTTGATGGGTAGTCAACAAATAACCAAGCACCTACTGTGTTCCAAGCAGAGTTTACTGTATTGCAGTCACCAACCTTGGAACTGTGCTCCAGTCTGGGAGACAGATCTGTCAACATCACATTTCAATACAACTGTGAATGCCCTCCAGCCTGGGGCACCATTATCACCTCCCATATACATTTGTTCCTCATCCCTGATTTAGAGTCAGCTTTCTGCATTCAGTATGTGTGTGTCAGTTTTTCCATACGAATGCATGTATGTCCTAGTAATGGTTGTGTGGGTAGAATCATAAATTCTTTTATGTGATAGTTGTGAATGCCTCTTGAAAATGATGCTTTAAAAGGGAAGAAAAGGTACTCACTGAAGGTCAATAATGGTTGCAACCCATGGGTAGCCCTAAAATTACTGTATTCTGTGTAAGAAAGTTCTCCATACTCCGTTTAGTCCAGGCCTTAGGATTATGGCCTGGATTCCGGAGGAAACCTAGTATGTGTGTAAAGAGAAACCCCCTCAAAAAATTGTTTAGGCCCAGCATGTTAGCTCATACCTGTAATCGTAGCACTTTGGAAGGCCAAGGTGGGTGGGTCACTTGAGCCCAAGAGTTGGAGACCAGTCTTGACAACATGGAGAAACCCTGTCCCTACAAAAAATACAAAAATTAGCCAGGCATGGTGGCATGGACCTGTGGTCCTAGCTACTCAGGAGGCTGAGGGTGGATCACCTGAGCCTGGGACGGTAAGGCTGCAGTGAGCCATGATCATATCACTGCACTCCAGGCTGGGTGACAGAGTGAGAACCTATCTCAAAAAAAAGGAAAAGAAAAAAATTGCTTAAATTATGCACAAAATAGATATTTATTACATACAAATTAGAAAATACAGATGAAGCAAAAAGAATACAATTAAAAATAATCCAAATCACTCAATGTAGATCGGTACTAGTAACAGTTTGTTGCACATGTTACAGGTTTTCTTCTATGCATGTAGACATGTTTATTTACAAAAATGGTGTCAAACTGTATATGCTGTTTATCTTTTTTTTTTTTTTGAGACAGAATCTTCCTGTCTCCCAGTGGCATAATCTTGGCTCACCAAAACCTCTGCCTCCCGGGTTCAACCGATTCTCCTGCCTCAGCCTCCCAAGGAGCTGGGATTACAGATGTCCACCACCAGGCCTGGCTAATTTCTGTCTTTTTAGTAGAGACAGTGTTTTGCTATGTTGGCCAGGCTGGTCTCAAACTCCTGACCTCAAATGATCTGCCTGCCTTGGCCTCCCAAAGTGCTGGGATTACAGGCGAAAGCCACTGATCAGGCCTGGCCTAAATTCAGGACATTCTATTTCGATGGATTTGCCTATTCTGGACATTTCATATAAATGGAATCATACATCATAAAAGCCCTTTGTGGCTGGCTTTGATGGTGCCCAATTTTTTGGCTACTGTGAATAATGCTGCTATGAACTTTTGTATACAAACTTTAGTATGAACATGTGTTTTCATTTTTCTTGGGTGTGTACCCAGGAGTGCAGCTGCTGGGTCATGTGATGACACTATGTTTAACATTTTGAGGAATTGTCAGACTTTTCCAAAGTAGCTGTACCATTTTACAATACCCTCAGCAATGTTTCAGGGTTCCAGTTTCTCCACATCCTCATCATCATCATTTGCTAGTTGCTATTGTCTGTATTTCTTATTTTATCCATCACAGCGGGAGTGATAGTATCTCATTGTGATTTTTATTTCTCTAATGACTAATGATGTTGAACAACTTTTTGTGTGCTGATTAGCCACTTATATGTCTTCAGAGAAATGCCTATTCAGTCAGTTTGCCATGTTTTAAACAGAAGTCTTTTTTTTTTTTCTTTTTTGAGATGGAGTCTCACTCTGTTGCCAGGCTGGAGTGCTGTGGCACGATCTCAGCTCACTGCAACCTCCAACTCCCTGGTTCAAGCAATTCTGCCTCAGTCTCCTGAGTAGCTGGGATTACAGGCACACGCCACCACACCCAGCTAATTTTTGTATTTTTAGTAGAGGTGGAGTTTTACCATGTTGGCCAGGATGATCTCAATCTTCTGACCTTGTGATCTGCCTGCCTTGGCCTCTTAAAGTGCTGGGATTGCAGGCATGAGCCACCGCGCCGGCCTCATATGTCTTTTTATTGTTGATTTGTAAAAATTCTTTATATATTCTGATTAGAAGTCTCTTATCAGGTGTATGATTTGCAAATATTTCTCCCATTCTATGGATTGTCTTTTCACTTTCTTGGTGATATCCTTTGAAGCACAAAGGTTTTTTGTTCTTATGGAGTCCCATTTATGTTTTTTCTTTTGTCATTTGTGCCTTTGATGTCATATCTAAGAAACTATCACCTAATCCAAGAAAACAAACATCATTTACTCCTACGTTTTCTTCTATAACCCTTCATCTTGTAGCTCAGTTTAGACTCTGTTAATATCTGCCCTTCTACATCTCTACCCATTAGCCCAGTAAACACACAAAGGCTTGGAAGTTCAACAGAGGAACCTGCCTTCCTCTTAGAAAGGGGAGGAGGAAGCAAGATTGTAAATAATTGCTGCTTAAATTTAACACAATTACATTTTAATACCTTGTCCCTTGCACGTATACTTATTAACCATGATTTTTTGTGCATTGTTCATGTCCTTGAGCATATGTGACTTGCCTTAGGCTTTACAATATTCCACATGATGAGCTGGGACCCTATGATTTAAATGAGTTAAATTTTAAGAAATTAATGGTGTCAAAGATTCAGTTAAATGATGAATAAGAGAAGGGCAATGGGGGATTTAGACGCAGAGTGAGTGAAAAGGAAATGATAGGAATAAAAAGGGAAGAGAAATGAATGAATTTGGAACATTACATGTGAAGAAGGAGAGGGAATGAAGACTGTTGAGACCTGAACGTAGAAACACAGGAGACTAGAACTTCAGCGGGCCACACTGCCGTCGGGCAGCCAAGAGACTAGAGAAGCTCAGGATGGGCTGTGTCCTTGGCACCAGGAGACCTTGAACAAGAGGGAACTTTGCTTTAGTCTGTAAAAAGTAAAACTGAGAAGAGAAGACTTTCTAGTGGATCCCAGTAGTGAAGGTTCTAAGCTAAAACTGGGCAGCATTTGGGCACTTCAGGACATCTGTATCCTGAGCTAGACACGTTAGGAATATATTTTGCCTTTCACGTTTATCTTATGTGATGTGTTAGACTAATACAAAAGACATAAAAATAGGTTCCCCTACCCCCCATTGAGGAGGAAGAGGTTGACATCATACTTGCATTCACCCTAATGCCCAACTCAGTCTCTGCATTCAAGAAGCTCTAGTACAGCAGTGAGGATAGTAAGGATACTTAGCCCACAGTCATCAGAGAGGGACAAATATTCTGGGGCTCATAGGAGGATAAAGGGGACCAGAGAGAAGTCCCTTGGTCAGATGATACCATATTATTTTTAAATATGCTTCTTGCAAAATTATAGCATATTGCTATGAGTTCGTGATATTATTCATGATATTTCCCCTGGTCTGTAAACTTGTGTGCTATAGCTTAGACATCCTAGATGGTTTTTGCTTGTGTCATTATTCATACTTTTTTTGTGCTCAAGACTAGTCATTGTTTACTGCCAAGGACAAGGTCCTTGAAAGAGAATGGGAAAGTACTGTCCAGGCCTTTATATGTGGCATTAGAGGGACTTGGCCTTTTGTCATAATTTGAGGCATGATGACCTTAAAATTACCAAAACCTAAAATGCAATAAAATAAATAAATGGAAAAAAAAAAATTAGGGGGGACCTCTGGTGCTGGACCTGTACAATGCAGAAAGCATGGTGAGGTCCCCACCCACCTATTGGGCTGTGCAGTCAAGCTCCACCTTGACTCAAGCTTCCTGGGTTCTTCTCCATCTGAAAATGAAGTAGGGAAGGGCATGTCCCTGGCTTCCAGGGAGGTGACATTAGGTTCCCTTTCTTTCCTTCTCTCTCCAGGTGCCAAGCTCTCCTGATGAAATGTGTTCTGTCCCACTGGGCTCCGGGGACAGTGTCTGGTGCTGTTGATGCCCTTATTCGAACTTTCCAGAATGGATAGTCCCCCAAAGCTGACTGGAGAGACCCTCATCGTTCATCACATCCCTCTGGTGCACTGTCAAGTCCCAGACAGGCAGTGCTGTGGAGGGGCAGGCGGAGGCAGTGGGAGCACAAGACCTAATCCCTTCTGCCCACCTGAGCTAGGCATCACCCAGCCCGATCAAGACCTAGGACAAGCCGACTCCCTGCTATACAGCAGCCTGCACTCTGCTCCAGGAGGAACTGCACGGTCTACAGACAGCAAGATTAGGAGTCGGGATGGAAGAGGTCCTGGAGCCCCCAAACGACACAACCCCTTCTTGCTGCAGGATGGTGTGGGTGACCCAGGACTTGGTGACCTGTATGATGACAGCATTGGTGACAGTGCCACCCAGCAGTCCTTCCACCTGCATGGCACTGGCCAGCCCACCTTCCATCTATCCTCTTTCCAGCTGCCACCATCTGGCCCCGGAGTGGGCAGGCCATGGGGGCCGACACGCAGTCGGGCTGGAGTGGTGGAAGGGCAGGAGCAGGAGCCAGTGATGACCTTAAATACTCAGCAGTGTGACACCAGCCGCTGCTGCCGGCCAGAGCTGGAAGCAGAGACCATGGAGCTGGATGAGTGTGGGGGACCTGGTGGGAGTGGCAGCGGGGGTGGAGCCAGTGATACCTCTGGCTTTTCCTTTGACCAGGAATGGAAGCTTAGTTCAGATGAATCCCCAAGGAACCCAGGATGCTCTGGCTCAGGAGCCCAGCACTGCCGCTGCAGTAGCACATCCAGTCAGTCTGAGGCAGCTGATCAGTCTATGGGCTACGTGAGCGACTCCTCCTGCAACAGTTCAGATGGTGTGCTGGTCACCTTCAGCACCCTCTACAACAAGATGCATGGCACCCCCCGTGCCAATCTCAACTCTGCCCCACAGTCCTGCAGCGACTCTTCCTTCTGCAGCCACTCAGACCCTGGCGCCTTCTACCTGGATCTGCAGCCCTCCCCAGCTGAGTCTAAGATGTCTTGTGAGTCACATCACCCTGAAAGTACAGGAAGGGAAGGGGGCTATGGTTGCCCTCATGCCTCATCTCCTGAGCTTGATGCCAACTGCAACTCCTACCGCCCACACTGTGAGCCGTGCCCAGCAGTGGCTGACCTCACAGCCTGCTTCCAGAGCCAGGCCCGTCTTGTTGTGGCCACACAAAATTACTATAAACTTGTCACCTGTGACCTCTCCTCCCAATCATCCCCAAGCCCTGCTGGCTCTTCCATCACTAGCTGCTCTGAGGAACACACCAAGATAAGTCCCCCACCAGGCCCTGGCCCAGACCCAGGCCCCAGCCAGCCCTCTGAGTATTACCTATTCCAGAAGCCAGAAGTCCAACCAGCGGAACAAGAGGGAGTGAGTTCCTCCGTCCAAGCAACAGCTGCTATGGGCCCCACTGTGCTTGAGGGGCAAGTGTACACGAATACTTCACCTCCCAACCTCAGCACTGGACGTCAGCGCTCCCGCAGCTATGATCGCAGCCTGCAGCGCAGCCCTCCTGTCCGCCTGGGCTCACTGGAACGCATGTTGAGTTGCCCAGTGCGCTTGAGTGAGGGCCCTGGAGCCATGGCTGGGCCCAGCTCCCCACCCAGGAGAGTCACCTCCTTTGCTGAGCTGGCCAAGGGCCGGAAGAAAACTGGAGGCTCTGGCTCACCGCCACTTCGTGTGAGTGTTGGGGACTCCTCCCAGGAGTTCTCACCCATCCAAGAAGCCCAGCAAGATCAGGGGGCCCCACTGGATGAGGGCACTCGCTGTAGTCATAGCCTGCCACCCATGTCCTTGGGGCCAGGCATGGACCTACTTGGCCCAGAGCCAAGTCCACCCTGGTCCACCCAGGTCTGTCAGGGACCCCGCGCCAATGAGATGCCTCCTGCTGGCCTCAGAGCTGCTGGGCAAGGCCCACTGGCTCAGCTGATGGATCCAGGGACTGCTCTCCCAGGGAGCCCAGCCAACAGCCATACCCAAAGGGATACAAGAGCTAGAGCTGACGGTAAGGAGCCTAAGGGTTAGCAATATGTGGATATTCACCAGCAGGATATGCATGGCCACCTCGGTGACAGGTCCCTGCCAACCACCTCATCCATGCCACCAGAGGTTCCACATCCTAGATCCGTTATCCCGCCAGGGCAGGTCCCACAGCTTATAGTGGAGTGGGCTCACCGTGGCAGGGGGTTGGGGGGAGACAGAGGACTCAAAAATACACTGAGGGAATACACTGAGGGGGCTGGGTGTGGTGGTTCATGCCTGTAATCTGTCGCAACCCTTTGGGAGGCTGAGGCAGGTGGATCACTTGAGGTCAGGAGTTTGAGACCAGCCTGGCCAACATAATGAAACCCCATCTCTACT